ATTTTTTCTTTACTTAAATTACATGAAAGATTTATATAATAAAAATTAATAATATGATTAAATTTTTTATTAATATAACTTTAAAATCATTTAATTATATGATTATTAATATAAATATTATAAAGTTTATTATTCTCCCTCCCCATTCCCCTGCTGTTTTTCTTTTTTTTTTTCACCTTTGGGTTCGCGTGAACCCAGGTTCGTCGCAGAACCTAGCGCCTGGGTTCTGAGATGAACCCGCGCCTGGGTTCCGAGACGAACCCCGCGCCTGGGTTTGTCTCAGAACCCAAGGGAGGGGTTTGCGACGAACCAGCGCTGGGTTCGTCTCAGAACCCAGGCGCTGGGTTCTGCAACGAACCTGGGTTCGCCTCGGACCCAGGCGCTGGGTTCGCGATCGCTGAGTTCGCGATGAACCCAAGCGCGGGGTTTGCCGCGAACCCAGCTCCTGGGTTTGTCTCTGAACGGAAGATGAGGGGATTTTCGGTTTAAGGGGAAAGAAAATGAGGAAGAACACAGTAAGTATTTTCGGTTTGTTGGATATTTTTGGTTTATTTCTCTGATTGGATGAGGATTTTCGATTTGTTTCTCTGATTGTTTGATTGGATGAAGAAGAAGAAACAACAATGGCTGTAATGTTATAAATTGGTGCTTTATATAGTAGTTTTTTCATAAATAAAAAGAAGTGTGTGGATAAAATAAGAAGTTCATGTCAATTTCATTAATTTAGAAGTGAGAAGCTCCCGCGAAAATAAGAGTTGGGAGCTTCCAGCCTTTGCAAAGGAAAAGTGAGAAGCTGAGCTTCTCAAAAGCTGCCGCCACTTTAGGAAGCTATCCCGTTTGGTGTGGCTTGTGCTTTTAGAGCCAAAAAGCTCTTCCCACAATCCACACCAAAGAGGCCTTACTAAACCAATGAAAAGTAAATAAATTTAAAAAAATGGGAAAGAAAGAAACTGGCTGGCAGAATTTTTTTAATTTGATCTTGCTGAGCGCTGCTCCACGCAAATTTATTTATGAATTTTTTTTAAATTTGTGTTAAACATAGGTTTAAACTATATTTAATGTATTTTTTTATATTTTATCAAATTTAATTCTTTTAATTTAATTTTTAAATAAATTTTTATAAGATAATTTTATATAATAAATACATAATAATTGAAAATTTTTTCATAAAAA